AATTAAATAAAACTAATATTCTTTTGGAAAATATTCTAGATTTTACAACTGCACTTATAAACATTTTCATGCGACCAACACTTCTATAGCCTCCACAATTTGGAAATTAACTAGGGTAAAAATATGTCTGTAATTGCCAAAATAGGTCTGTCTGTAATTGGCAAAATTCAAGTATTCGGCGGTATGGGTCACTTTTTTAGGAATATCTAATGAAAATGTTAAACAATTCCGTAAAAAAGTTGGCTACAGCCATCAAAATACATAATATATGGAGGATAGGCACTGAAAACATAGATTTATAGACATGTTTCTATATAAATAGAATAACGATAACGGAGAAAGAATTCTTTATTAAGTCTTAATGCGGAATTCAAAGTTATTTCACCAGAAACTGAGGCTAATATCTTCAAAATACCGGATATGAGAAGGTACCTTTATAGGGGAGCTATGGGAATCACGGACCTAAAAAGGCGGTGTTCTGTTACAGGATTTATATCATATTATGAATTCTAAATACCGAATTTTAAACTTTTCCTCTACAAAGTATGGCTAGAATCGTCAAAATATCGAATATCAGTAGGTGCTTTTATAGTTACATATACAATATTGTGCCACATGAGGTAGAATCCATTAGAAACTCTAACTACCAGTTATTCCGTTAGAAAATGTGTCTGAAATTGTCAAAATTCCGAATATCTGGAGGTACAATATGGCCCATCTTCGAATTTGACCTGACTGCAGACAAAAAAAAAAACTCTATGAAAAACTTTAGCTGTCTATTACATGTCGTTTTGACCCCAGCGGACGAAAATTACTAAATCTACTCATAATTTTACTCTGATGAAGTGTTGGGTCTTAAATGATTATTTTGATGAGTTACAAACTCAATGACAAGCATACTATGTATTTAGAGGGCATACAAACTGGAGTCTACGAATGATTCTATTGTCCGTATCCACAGTGTATTCCTCTTGAAAGGGATATGAAGTAATAATAATGCCTGGGGAAAGTTTCAAAACATTTGCATCGAAATTTCCCGATATACCTCCATTTCAATAGGGGAATAAAAAATTTACAGAGATCAAGAACGAAAATACTTTATGGAGTATTCGACAGATAATTCGAGCGGTGTTTGTTAGTAATTCTCACGAGTTCAATTAAATTCATTTGTTCGTATAAAAGGCTATTAGAAGAAGGAGCTCTGAAAACAACGACTGTCATTGATACGTATAGAATTTTTAGGAAGTTAAATTTGCATTAATTTACGATCTTGCATGTAACACCATTAATTAGAGTATGAATTTTGAATTAGGTACGTCATGTATCAAGAATCGACCAAGAGCTCTTAACGTTAACCCTGAAAAAGTTAGTATATGTATTTTCACTAGCTAAACAAAAATGGGGCACTTCGGTGAATCAGTCTTACTGAACAATATAATCAACATTTCCAATAAAGTTAAATATCTGGGTGTGTTTGTAGATAGTACACTTAATTGAAGATACCACATCCAAAAAAGAGCAAATAAGGCTCACTGGCTTAATGTCAACACGATACCGCCCATCGTAAACTTCGTAACACACAGTAAGATTGCCATAGAAGCTATAACAGCTATTTATTATAAAAAAATCAACAAGCAAAAAAGCAGCTAAGTTCGGTCGGGCATCCATTTGGAAGGAACTTGAAAAATTTCGAAAAAAAATTCCGAAAACTTCCACTTATATGAAAACCGTTATATGTGGAAATTTTTTGTTATAGGCAGTAGTACCCAATACGAACTTCAAATACAAAATTTGAAACAGTTCCATTGAATAATGTCGATAAAATCATAAAAATATTGAATATCGGGTGGTATAGTTATATGGGGGATATATAAACGTGGACCGACATGGCCTATTTACGTACCTGACCTGCCCACTGGTAAACATGCAAAATGGCATGTATGCAAAATTTTAGTCTTCTATTTCAATTCTATCTCAATTCGTTCGTTAATTAAAACATCTTAGAAATCATTTTCTTAGAATTTTACGTTGATCCCTTCTTTGCAGGATGTATTATAAATATTTCGAGGAGTTACAAACGGAATGACAACGCTAATATACCCTCCATAGAATGGAAAACTGTATTGGAATGTATAAATGCAATCAACAACTCTTTTTCAAGACCGTTCAATACGCATTATATGGGTACCAGGTCATGCGGTGATAAGAGGTGAAGTGACAGCAAAATCTCTCGCAAAAACAGACAGGGAATTAGCAAAAGAAAACTTGATCTATCCAATACAATTAAATGCGACAAGTCTAGAGATAAAACATGGGCAAAAAACTCGCACATATGTATGCCTATGAAACAATGAAGACGTAAGGAAAATAAGAAAAATCCTATGGGGAGAACCCAATTTAGTAAAAACAAAAAACATTTTATTACATGGTAAGAAAGATATTAGTGGGGTAATAGACATCCTTACGGGGTACCTGTGTTCACACGCACATTTGTACAAGAGATGATGTGTGTGAAGAAATGTGTGTTTTTCTGTTAATGCCCAGCGTTTGAAAAAATCAGATCACAATTCTTAAGGAACAAACAAATGAATTTGGTTAAGGTAATTGAATTTCTAAAAAATAGACTGTAAGCTGTCCGTCTTCTTTCAATGACTTTTAATCTGTATGTCCACCAGGGCATACGACGTATGTTTCGATCCTTTTTTCCTTTTTTCGATCCTTCTTTTAAACCAAATCTAATCAAACTCCTCAAAATAATACTGTTTGTCTAAGACTAATACGCCTTGGCCTATTCCCCTTGTTAGAAAGCTACAAGCTAAAAAAGTATCAGTCGATCAAACAGATGTATACCATCAGCCAATATTCGATTATTTAAATATTTTTTGACTTCTTTTATGATTATTCAAATTGAGTAGATTTTGAAGGAATCGGGCCCAAATAAATATGATAAAAAATATTGCTATTTATATTTGGACTATATTGGTCACTTTCTCCATTTTATATAAGATATGTAATAACATTTGGAAAATGGTAAAAGGTGCGTGACGTACCAGATATAGTATTCCATTCACATACTTCACCTAATACAGATAAAAATATTGGCATGGTCAAAATTACAAGAAAATCGAACATTTATATCAAATTTATATCGAAATCAAAAATTCCATATTCATCTCAGGTTTTTGGTTGAGAGAAATCTTTAGGCAAGGTAAAGTAAGGTGTAGGTTACCAGAAAGAGTGGAACGATATATCTTCACAGCAGATCTTATTTTAGTAGAAATAATAGAATGTGTGAAATATGAAGAAACCCGGATGCCATTTTCGTATTTTATAATCGTTTTGGTTATTCAAAACTTTGACCTTTTGTAGGGGAGGTACTAGAAGCATCTCTACCATCTTTATAACGGATCTTGTGTTGATAGAAATATTGAGATGTGCCAAGTCTGAATGGAATTAGATCTTAATTTCGCGTTTTATGTTCTTCACGGGTTTTAAAAAAATTTGACCCTTTGAGGAGGAGGCACCAGAGGGAGTGGACCGATATTTTCCATCTTCACGCCAGACCTTGTTTTAGTAAAAATATTGTGATGTGAGTAATTTTAAGATAATCGGACTCGTATATCAGATTTTATAAGACTTATAATTATCAACTTGTTGATCCTTTGTGGAGATATTGTTCATTTTCGCACCTGACCTAGAACTGATGCAAATATCAGGATTGGCAAAGTTGGAGCAAAATCGAATTATCCTTACTCTTTCTGTGCAAAATATATATTTTTTGAAAATTTCGACCCTTTGTGGAGCAGGTGCCAGAAGGAGTGGACCGATATTGCCCATCTCCGAACTTGACCTAAGTTTAATAATAATATAACGATGTACTAAGTTTGGACCAAATCGGATGTTCCCTTTGAGAGTTATCATACGCACCTGGCAGACGGACGGACATCGCTAGATCGACTCCAAAAGTCCTGAGACGGATTTGATTCAAAAAAACCTAGGGTATTAAACCGTTATTTCGATGAAGCACGTTTTGACCGTGTTAGCCGTATGGTTGAGGGTATAGTAACTGAAATAGACAGCAGAAATTTTGTACACATGCGCGTTTGTTTGATGTTGGCTATTTTGTGAGATTTTGTTCGCTAAACGAATTGTCTGATATTTAGTATTTCATATTCGTAATGGTTTTTAAGCCTTATGTAGATTCCAGATTTTAGTTATATTTGAAGTTGACATCGTTTTTTCTAATTTTCTAATGGAACTGATCACAGTTTGAACTTATGGATACCTAATACATAATTCATCCTTCATCATACCCATTTATCAATCTCCCCTATTATTTCTTCGCTTTCCACTTGCCCATCTAAGTAGAAAATATTTTTGTTTACACACTTTCATTGCTTTCACTTTCGCCAGACATTCCATTGACTTAAGAATGCATTTCTGTACAGATTAACGCATTTTATGCGTAATCTGGGCCACAGGGGATGGATCCTGATGAACTCAACCTGCTAACCCTGCCGGTGGGTTCAAATCTAAGTGGACAAGTTATTGTTGCACTCTAGTGTTGTAATGTTGGCAGTGCATGTGAACACGCTGTGTATTGAGCTGAGCAAGGTCTTTGCTTAGTTAAAAGCTAAGGGTCCTTGTGCATTTAGTTAATGCTCGTGAACAATGAACCCTGGTTACGCCAAGCGTTTTGTTGTTTACGTTGTTGTCGTTTTTGTTTTCTTTCAAACCAACGACAACAACGATAAAGACGTTGATGGGGGGATGACGATGAAGATGGGGAGGTGGATGGAGTGTGGGGTGGGGTGGTTTGTGTTCTGTTAAAACTGAAATGCTGGTACGACGATGATGACGATAATTTTCTACTCTTAACCCAATTCACACGGTCAGGCGACAACTCAAGTAGCAACCGGCTGGCTGGCTAACCAAAACACAACGACGTCGACAACAACGACAGACTCTACTCTGCCAGACACTTGAAATGCTGAGCTTACCTTTTAATGATGTTTGTTTTTGTTTTGTGGTGTTTTAATTTTGGTTGCTTGTCAGGACTTTTTCCTTGTTTATGTTGATGTTGTTTTTGTCGTTTTTTTTTTTTTTTTTTTGTTTTTGGTCCAAGCACAAATTTAGAAAGAATTTCGCTTTTGTTTGTTATTTTTGGTACTGTGGTTTTTGTTATTCTCAAGTTGTAATACTTGCACTTTTGCTTAGGTGGTTTCAGGAGCTGTTCCTTGCAAATTATTTAAAATTTGTTGAATTTAAAATTATTTTTATGTAATTTTGGATGAACTCTTATATAAAACATCAATTCCTTTTTTATATCCGTATTATGAGGGGGATTGTGAAAACCATGGCTAAGTAGCGCACTTTTGGAGGGGGAAGGGGCCCTTCTACTATGTATATTTACTACAACAAGACAATCCTCTTTGCATTATTTACATATTTACATGACAACAACAAAAAGGCGATATAAATTACAACAACGCAAGTTAACACATGCAAGCACACACGCACAACAACCGATGAAGACGATGCGAAACTGACGGGAAACGGATGCGGAAACAAGTGTGATTACGCGTTTATTTGTCTATCTCTCTGGCTCTGCACGGCGTATGAGTGATGTGCGAATTGTTTGTTTGTTTCTTTTGTTGGGAATGGAATGGAATTGATTTGTATTTGTTTTGATTTTCTGTTGTTTTAGTTATTTGTTACCCGTTTGAATTTCTTTAAGTAAATTTTGATTTAACATTTTTGTGATTTTTTTTTCTACACAATTTTTGTCACATAACACCAGGCGTATACATTTTTTCGCTCGCTTTCATTTATTGTCCTTCAATGTCCACCACTTTCTTTTTTCAATTTACATATTAGCTGCACAGTGGATTTTCGTTGGTGGTGGCTGCAGCACTGAATTCTGTTCCGTTCGCTAGATTTGTTGTTATTAATGGCATGCCCATAATAATTATGATGATGATGTTGAAACACCACACACATGTTTGGAGAAACGCTCTAGCGACTGATTCACCTGTTCACGCTTCGCTTAAATGACAAACTAGTTTTTTTGAGGCAAGCAAAATTATCACAAACTGATGGCAAGCAGCTGACTTGGGTGTGGAGACTTGGACAAGGCGCATGAGCCATTTTTCCACATCAACAAATCCACTGAGAGCCGTGAGTACCCATGGTTTTCGAAATCTCCGCACAAATTCGAAATCTCCACACAGCCGCACAAAGTCTACAATGCCAATGCCATAGAGCCAAACGACCATCTGTTTTGAATTTCAAGTTTAAGTTAACAAACTGTTGGCTGTGAATCTTTTGCCTGCTTGTCTCGCTAGCGGATAAAATGCTTCGTGCAATGGTTTTGATAGTGAGCACGAGTAAAAGTGAATGTTTCTGTGTGTGTGTCTGTGTATGATAACGTGTGGCTGTGTGCCAATGTTTTCATTTTTCGCTTTCACTTAGGCAGACCATGGCATAGGCAAAAACTTTTATCTGTTGAATGATGATAAGCAGACATTGACACAACCCTCAGTCACACATACACAGTTCTATCAGTACGTCTTCTTTGGAGGCTTCGAATATCCATGCCAAATACAAGCAGAGCTCTCCCCATTACACAGCGATAAAAGCGGCAACATTTTTAAAGTTAAGAAATACTTTTTTTTGATATTCAAAAAACCCAAAAACTTGCCTCTCAAAATGGGGGCTATTTGATGTTAGCAACAATGATAAGTCCTGTCGTTACAAGTTATTGCTCTTTTGTACTGATATCGGGTGGATGCTGAAACATATATTGTTTCACATCTTTTTTGTCGTGAAATTTATTGTACTGCATGGGCATGGGGTTGTGTTTCTTACCAATTATTATGTATAAATTCAAATAGAACTTTAAAAAATGCAATGAAAACGTACTAGGCAAGAAATATAGGAAGACGTCCTATTGGAGACATATTCGATTTCTGCCGGCAACACCTAAAAATTAGACTACACAAATTAACATTTCCCATTTGTCTGCATAAAAATCTAATAAAATTTTGCCAATGAATTTTCGTCAGGCTGTCTTAATCCTGATAGAGCACACATAATCGAAGCTTATTTCCATTTTTGCTAGATTGGGTGGCATTTTCACTAAAGACAGTTTAATATTGTAGGGATTTTGAAACTAATATGAAAAGTTCGGTGGAACTCTTGGGAGTCAGGTATCCTCCGAAATGGTTAATTATACCCTACAACACTATGTGTTGGGGGTATTATAAGTTTGATTGGCCCAAAAATTATGTAACACCACGAAATATTGGTTTCCCACATAGGAAAGTATATATGGATCTTCCTAGCTCGCCGAGCTGAGTCGATCTAGCTATGTATGTCCGTCCGTCCGTCTGTCCGTCTGTCCATGTTAATTTGTAATCACTCTACAGGTCGCAATTATGGCCCGATCTTCACGAAATTTAGAATGGAGGTGGGACTGGGGTCAGAATAGAACCCTATTTCTTTTGGAGATGATCGCCAAATGTTTAGGGGTTGAAATGGATCAATTACTGAAAAAATGTCGGATTTTGCAGTAGCTATACAGTTCGCAATCATAAACCAATCGACGAGGAATTTCGCATGTAGCTAGAGTTTAGGGCAGGGAAGAAGCCTACCAATTCGGGTGGTCATCGGATAATATTTAGCGGGTCAAATAGACCATATCTTTTGTGTTGAAAAAAATCAAAATTTTTCATTAAACCGCGAATATTTTAAATCCCGGCGAAATCACAAAGCCATGACAAGGTTACTTCTGATCTTTACATTGATGTTAACACCCAACAAAACGGATATATAGCAAAATATGTGCGATATATATGTTTATCAAAGAAGATATGCTTGAAAAATCTCTTATATGTCGAGAACGGCTGAACTGATTTCGACAGTTCTCATTAATTCAGAATGGCCACTTGGCAGGAAAGAAAAAACCTCTAAGAAATCTCATAAAAATATCTCTCTAAAGATGAAAATATTGATTTTGTAAAATTTTCTCATATTTTTTCAATTTTGTCATATTTTTGGCATATTTTCATTTTGAATTAAACATTTGGTAATATTTCTACAGCTAACAAAACTAAGTAGTTAGGATATCAGGATATCATATACAGATCGCATTTATGGCCCGATCCTTACGAAATTTTGCATGGAGATAAGATGAGGGTCAGAATAGAAGCCTACTTCTTTTGGAGATGATCGCCATATATTTAGGGGCTGAAGTGGACCAAAAAACTGCAATATTGTCAGCAGGTCGTAATTATCGCCCGATCCTCACGCACATTTGAATGGGGGTTACCGGACATTACAAAAGCCAAGCAGTTTTGGATGGCCATCCAAAAATATTCAATGTGTGAAATAGTTTGCCAACTTTTATAGACAAAATACGAAAATGTCCATTCCAGTGACTTTTTGGAGAATTCACAAATACAGGAAAGACGCACTTCTGACTATTTCGTTAACGCTGATTTCATTGAAGAATATAGTCAAATGTCTGTATCTTATTAAGATGCGTTTCAGACAAAAACCAATAATAAATGTTAATCTTTTGCCACTTCTGAGAGGTTATAGGTCTTTGGGAAATATTGGTTCCAGATCTAGGAAGACCATTTACGTGCAACATCTACCAATAAATTGGAAATGAGCAAATTAGTTAAAGTTGCTATTATTCGAAAATTAGAGAACGAAACCTGATGGTTTTCTTTTATTATTTGTCACAATATCTTCTGGAATCCTTTTGAGTATCTCGCCCATATAAACTGTATCGTATATTATAGTGTTGTAGGGTATTCAACGGTCGGCCCCGCGCGACTGTAGCCTTTGCTTACTTGTTTTAATTGTATTTAATATGAACAAGTTAATGTTTCGCTTTCTGTGTACGACGCTGCTGTGTGATTTCTTTGAATCTCCCTAACTTGCCGAGTAGATCTAGCTAGGAAATTTAGCATGATGGTCAGGGTGGGGTCAGAAAAGAATGAGTTGAGATGGACCAATAACAGATATATTTCCTGAATCTAGCATTGGATTGAAGTTTAGCGCTGAGCAGAAATACGACATTGTCCACTAAACCTCGAATATTTTTAATCTCTTTAAAATGTCACTTCTGACATTTTAAGTATCACAGCTGATAACCAAGATATGGATATATAGCAAAATAAGTAAAATCTATATGTAAACGAAATTAATGTTAGTTATTTCTCTTAGAAGTCAAGAACAAATGGACTGATTTTGACAAATCTCACCAATTTGGAATGGCCTCTTGGGAAAAAAATTAAATTAAGAGAAAATCGCGTAAAATTATGCCAATAAAAATGAAATATTTTTTTAGATATTTTTTAATTTTATCGCCTGAGATCATTTTATATTTGTCACACTATATTGAATTGTATTTTTTAATTTTTTTTCACATCATTATTATATTATTTAAGTTGCAATTATCGCCCGATCCTCAAAAAAATTTACATGGTGGTTGGATTAGGGTCAGAATTGAAGCCTTTTGTTTTGAACTTTATATGTAGGGGTTCAAATTGGCAAAAAAATTAAAATTGTCGAGATTTTGCAATAGGGTATGGTATTTCAAATTAGGACTAGTCAGACTGTAGCCTTTGCTGTCCTTTTCGTGTAATATATTTATCCTTTAGTAGAAGGAAGTATAACATATTTCTCTAGAGAATATCATTAATATTGGCATTAATAGTTTTGGCAGAGAAGTTTAAATTATTCAAAAATGTACCTTTGTTAAAAGATTGGACCGACATTTTTCATTATCGCACCTGATCTATAACCATATGAGAGTGTGGACAAAATCGAAGCTAAGAAATTTAAATAACATCCTATGTTACGTAATTTTTTTTCAAAATCAAACTTACAATGTTGCATGGTATAAATATATTATCTTATTATATATAAAAGAAGTGTATGTGATTTACTACGTTTATATCTTAAAATCGTCTGGCTGGACTTTGCCAATTCATTGGGTAAATATTGTGACACATATTTTTTTTTTTAATTTTTTGTAATGAGAAAATTCATTGGAACTGCAATGTATCGAATGCCGATTATAAAGGGCAACTGCAATATGGGGACTAAACAAAAAGAGAATGATTTATATCCTCCTGAAAATACTTCATGGCATTATTTTAAAACCGAAATCTACCAACATGGATGTGAACCTAAAGGGCTTCTAACATATAATAGTGTTGTAGGGAATAGAGTGGTCGGCACCGCACGACTATAGCCTTTTCTTGCTTTTTTATACCCCCCACCATACTATGAAGGGTATATTAACTTTGTCATTCCGTTTATAACTCCTCGAAATACTCATGTCAGACCCAACAAAGTATATATATTCTTGATCAGCGTAAAATTCTAAGACGATTTAGCGATGTCTGCTAAATTTTTAACTTTTTTTTTTTTTTTTGAAAATTGCCAAATTCGTTTAAAATGTTAGAGGGTATTCAAAGTTCGGCCGGGCCGAACTTACAGCTTTTTTACTTGTTAAAATAGAACATCTAAGCTTTTCCGCGAATTAGTTGCATATTTTCGCTTCAAATATACAATTCTTGTAGTTTTCGGCTTGATACCTTGTTGTTTCTTACATTTTTTTTAAACCAAACCAAAAGGATTTTACACATTTAAACAGCTACCCGGGTCAGATTCAAAGTAATCATAGCTTCCATGGCTCCGTTTTATCACACTTTCCACAACTTGTATTAAAACATTGGTCTTTTTGATGATTTTTTAATTGGGATGCATTTACGTGTCAGGGCTATTATTACAGCCATTTGTCCCGGCAATGCTACGCAGTGGTCACTCACCATGCATTCTGTGGTGATTTTAAATCGACCATGTTGTCGAACAAGTTTAATGGCATAATAATAAGTAGGGAATGTTGTTCTTTGTGAATGGATGGTACAAGTTTGAAATGAAATACGTGTTAGGGTTGGCAGCAAAAATAGTCAAGGATGAAGGGATCAAGAGTTTACATGTTTTTATGCCAAAGCTAGAAT